CACAAATTCAATCTAGACAACAAGGAAATTGAAACAGTTAAAGAATTCTCATATCTAGGATCAAATATTATTGACCAGAATAGAGACTGCAGTCAAGAAATAAGAAGACTAGGAATGAGAAGGGCAACTATGAAAAAAACTGGAAAAGGTACTGAAGAGCAAAGACATACAACTGAACACTAAAGTCAGAATCATTCAGGTCACTGTATTCCCAATTACCATGTACGGATACAAGAGCTGGACAGTGAAGGAAGCAGACAGAAAGAAAATCAACTCATTAGAAATGTGGTGCTGGAGAAATGGAAGAAAGGAATTTTATTGGATTTATAGCCAATGACCTTTACAATACATAAAAATAATATATATATATACACACACACACACACAGAATGAAATATATACAAGATAAAAATAGCAGTTTTAAGAATGTTATACATAACTTTAAAACTATAAAAGTATTTTAACAAAACCTTCGCAACCAGCAAATCAAAAGTGTGAGATTCATATCTACATTATTGTACATTCCATAATAAAGTGAGTACGCAGTTTCTTGGAAGCCAGTGCAAACTGGGCTACTGAGCATGTAACAAATAGCTGCGTATCAGCTAACAGCTCCACAACTATTTCCTAAGGTGTGTAGTCTGTATATAACTGAATAATGGGTGACACAAATCTTTGTCTAAGTGATGAGTAAAGGGGGCAGGACATCAAATAATGAACAATATCCTGATTATAACAGAATACACATTTTCTGTCTATAACTGGGGTGCCTCTATATCTTCCTTCAAGATAAGCAGAGGGCATCTGCTGAAATCATAGTTCTGTGAAAGACCTTCAGAGCTGGGGAAAGGTCAAGGTTTCAAAGTATTGTGGCTTTGCATGGTTGATTTGTATCTGTGAGTACCAGATACAGAATGGTGCCCCAACTATCTTGGTTAGCATTGTGATCAAATACCCAGTTCTTAAGGTCATGAGGACTAAGCCTGAGATACTTTTTTTATGTTGATGTTATAAATATTTAACTTACCTTGTCACAATTGTACCCATCCAACAACCCTAAGTTCCTCCAACCAACAGAGTTTACTGAGGGAATGGTCCTCAAGTCTATTTAGTCTGAGCCCAACTCAGACCTAAGGTGAGCCCCTGGAGGAAGTCCCAAGGTCTGTCGCATATGTTTGTTTTGCAAAATTTCCAGATTGGATTTGGTATTTTTCACCCCCGACTTCTGCCCATACAACATTTGCACAATAAGTTTGCCTGCAAAAGCCTTCAGGGTAGGATTTATTAACTGTCCCCCTGTTTCCCCAGAGTAGAAAAATCTTTTAAGTTGCCCAATAGATCTGGCACTTGAGATTTTAGTGGCTTCCAGATGTTTCCAAGAAAGTTTTTCATCAAAGTATAGTCCCAGGTGTGGCGCTGAAGAAAA